AAATCATGAATTTCTAAAACTCGAATTTAAATAAGAAACATCTTAGACAATTATAGTACTTCTTAACAAGATATCAGACAAGGCTGTGCACAATGTAAATTATATTATCGTGGAATATAAAATGAAAAGGAAAAAATTAATTCTGATCATAACACTTTATCACAAATATACTTTATTCACAATTTGCTATTACAAATTCCTTAAATCATAGAAATCAATAGAATAGAACCTGTAATAATAACATTTAAAATTCGCTTAAAATGATATATTGAAATGGTTCGAGGATCCACCTTCGATCGATCGATCCTTCTTTTCCTCTTCGAAAGAAAACGCGTATTATTATATTTTTGAATAGAAGATGTGGGGCAAGATCGAAGGTTAGGAATAGGTTTGGGGGTAATCCGCTAATTCCTTAGCTCGGCTAATCGAATTTCTCGGATGCACATCGTGCGCAAGAGGTGGTAAATTTCGTAAGCTTACCTTGGCTCGGTAAGCGGGTTAGCCTAGCCCCGTTGCAAGAAGGCCGGAATTCGGTATTTAACGGCGCTGACTCGCGGGGATCGGGCGAAATCGTGCGTAGAGAGATCGTCCAAGAATTAATTAATTATTTGTAATAATGAAATCAATGGCATCAACATCGAGTTTCGTTAAATTAAAATCGAAGGATCGAGTCAAAAATGGAAGAATAAAATTTTCAACGCGTGGAAAAAATAATTAATTAATAACCATATATACATATATATACACTCTCCTCAAACTTAATGTACACATCGTTCTTCCTCGCGCCAACTTTGGAGAATCGTTCGAATTTTTTTCGAAAAAAAATATTTGAGAAACGATAATCCGCGAAAATATCCACGTGTCGTCCCAGGCGAGCATCGTGAGCGAAAAAATACGCCTCGTTGTTGCGTGCGAAGGGTAAAGGTGCGCGGGAGGAGGGGGAAGGGGCGGAGCGGTGGCGGCGGAGGGCGGGGTGGGGGGAGAGACGATTTTAAAGCTGAATGCGTTTTGCACGGGTGCAACGGGCGATGCGAACGAGATCGTATCAATTGTTTTTCCCCGGTGAGGCATCATCCCTTTTTCCGGGGGTTAATTGAGGAGCAAAGCTTCAATTTCGCAGAATTCACGCCTCCGGCATGCATCGACAGGTCTAGCCTGATAGAATGAGCCGCGGGATTTAAAAAAAAAAAAAAAAAAGAAGGAAAAAAGGGAAAAAAGGACCTCCACCTTTTTCCTTTTTCTTTTTCTTTTTTTTTTTTTTCCCTCCTCTTTCTCTCTTTGTTTCGAGCGTGTTTGGCAAACAAACGCGTCTCACCCTTTTTCCTCCCTCTCTATCTATATATATATATACATATGTGTGTCTCTATCCCGTTTGGACAACGCATTTTAAGGGAAACGATTGTACGAAATTCGAGAGTTTTCGAATTACATCCCTAATTCAATTTCGAAGCGTGGATATGCTTTCGTTCGATCGAGTTTCGGGGAAAAATTTGTTCGAACCAATTTGGATTTTTAATAGAACGATAAATTAACTCGTACGAAACATCGATTTAATCCGGTTAAGTCTTATTGTTGTATACGTTATTATTCGATTAAATAAATTTCAATCGCGTTAAATTAGAGCAATTGAGTTTCGACGAGCGTCGAAATGTTTACACGGATTGTATTTATTCGATCGAACGACACACGATGATTTCCTGTCCATGGACAACGGAGGAGGAGAAGAGAGGAGATTGCAGTGGGAAGGAGGAGGAGGAGGTGGTACGACAACCGTGGTAAATTATTAATCCGATGGGCTGTGGGAATCGATGAATAAGAGAAAGGAATCGCACAGAAGTCGCGATAATAATACTACACCCTTGCAAAATTCTGACCCAATGATCAACTCCCGCTTCCACGTTCCTGCCCGATAATATCGCGCTCCCTCTTAATTTAATTAAATTAATTCCATCCCAGTCATTATCATCCCCCTTTCATTCGATTTTATTTTCACTCGAATCTATTTTTTAATCGTACTTTCCTTTTCTTCTTCCCCCTCCCCCTCCCCCTC